GCTCATGGCACTCACGAACAATCAGATCTGTAATGTGTCCTCGTTTCGGTAGTATGATCGGGTGAGCTAGCTCCATTGATAAGCTGCTCTTTCGAGCACGTCCTCCTACTCGAAGTAGCCCATCCTGATCCACGAAAGGATCTAGTCCTCGCAGGCTGCCAACGGTTCTCTTTCTTCGGGGGTCACCAGATCGCTCTCCATCAGCTGAAAGGGCAGCCACGTCCTCATTGAAGTCTTCTTTCTGGACCTGTCGAAGGATCAACTTTTCTGCGTTCAGCAGATCTTCAGCACACAAGCCCTCCTCGGATTCATCTCCTTCTGGTTTCGTCGTCTTCGATTTGATCCGATGTCGGAGACGTCTCACAAACTTGATGCAGAGGGCAACAGCTCTACGAGCTCTGAACCAATCAGAGAAGTACAGCAGCCGCTCCTTCAGACTCGCAAACTGTTGTGCAACGGAAGCAGCAGTTGCAAGCGTCGTCATCTTCTTTACCTCTGGGTCGTCATCAGGGACTTCGAACGTACTAGGCGTCCTCTCCTCGTCCTGTTTCCTAAGGAACTCGGGTCCCTTCCACCAGATGTCGTTCTTCTTCAGGTCAGACGCCCTCTGGCCGCGGGAAGCGTAGTCTGCTGGATTGACTTCAGAGGATACGAATCCCCACTGATCAGGTGATGTGTACTGGCGAATTTGCTGTACACGATTCGCCACGAAGACGTGGAAACGTTTGTCTTCGTTTCCGATATAACCCAATACTACCTTGCTGTCACACCAGAAGTATTCTCTCAGGTTCGGAATATTCAGCTCTTGCTTCAGGAACTGGCTGGTTTTTGTCGAAAGAAGTGCCGCTGCCAGCTCCAGCCTTGGAACAGTCGTCACGCGTTTCGGCGTTACTCTGGCTTTCCCCAGCACCAGTGACGAATAGAGCTGTCCATCGGTAGTCTTCATTCGCAGATAGCTGCAGGCCCCGAGCCCCTCTAGGCTGGCGTCTGAGAAGTTGTGCAGCTCGTAGGACTCCACCAGACATGAGGATGGAACGTAGCACCTGGGCACTGCAAAAGTGGAAAGTGTAGCCAGGTCTGCTTTCCAATCAAGCCAGCACTCTTCATGTACCGGCTCATCCCATCCACCGCCATCACAACAGAGTCGCTTCAGTATCTGCTTTCCCTGCAACGTGAAGGGACACACCAACCCCAGGGGGTCGTATAGGGAACTGACGGTAGACAAAATCCCTCGTCGAGTCACTGGTCTGTCGGGCAGGTCTCCTGTCAAAAGGAGCGTGTCATCTTGAATGTTCCACGAAAGTCCAAGAGCCTGTTCCACTGGTTTGTACTCGTCCACGACGTCCTTGTTCTGAAGATTCTTCGATCGATTTTCTTCGGGGATGCTGGCGATGACATCCGGCTCGTTCGAGGTGAATTGGTGCAACTGGAAACCACCTTTGAAACACAAAATTGTTGCTCTTCCAGCCAGGTCACACGCCGACGTCTTGTCCGGAGTTGAGATCAATCCGTCGTCCACATAGAAATCGTGGCGCACGAAGGCTGCAGCTTCTGGGCCACACTCTTCTTCATAGAGCTCAGCTGTCTTATTCAGCGCGAACATCGCACAAGATGGGGACGATGTTGCCCCGAACAGATGCGTAGTCATTCTGAACTCTGTCGGTTCTTCCTGCAGGTTTCCATCCTTCCACCAGAGGAAGCGTAGCAGGTTCCGATGTTCTTGGTTCACTTTCACTTGGTTAAACATCCCTCTGATGTCACAAGTGAGAGCCACGGGGAGCTTACGGAATCGAGTCAAGATGCCGCAGAGGTTATTGGCCATGTCCGGTCCCTGCATGAGCTCACTGTTTAGGCTCCGTCCATCGAATTCACAGCTGCAGTCAAAGACCACCCTGATCTTTTGTTTACGAGGGTGACGGACCCCATGGTGCGGCAGGTACCACACTCCATTGCTGCCGGCTCCACCAAGTTCCTCTTCAGGCACAGGCTCAGCGACTCCGGTCTCCAGCATTTCTGTCATGAATGTGTTGTATTCTGCCTGAAATCCTGGATCCCTTTCAAATCTCTTCTTCAACCCTTGCAGCCTTTGCATTGCAAGTTTCTTATTGTCTGGCAGCACAACCTCTGGGTCCTTCAGTGGAAGTGGCGCTTCCATGTGACCATCTTCTGTGGCATGCATCTGTGTCTCCATTAGATCCACAAATCTCTTGTCTTGTTGTGAGATTTTCCTCTCTTGAGGTTGGTCCTGAAACCCTGTCTCCAACATTTCAATCAAATGTGACGGCCCGACTTCCCTCGCTCGGGTCCTCAGCGTGAAGTGACACTGCCTACTCGCCGCACCATCGCACGATGCAAAACAGCACGTTCTGTTGCCGCGAGCGAGGCCAACGACACCCCAGCCCATCGCTGTGCGGACTGCACACGGCGCGTTGTCGCCTTTTGTCACGATGTCCTGAGGCTTGATGGCCTTGCTGCAGTTCAAGCCAATGAGTAGACCAATCGACGCCTCCGGGTAGTAGGGAGGCAAACTCTCAGCTACTTCTCTCAGATGAGACCAGTTTGCTGCTGTCTCACGCCTTGGGATCAGTTGTCGATCTACAGGCATGTCTTCACGGGTGTACGTTGTGGGGAGGCTGATCTCACTGCTGGAGTCCAGCGCTTCGATGACCAGTCCCGTTACTGCTTTCGCCTTCACCTCGGTTTTCCCAGTAATCGTACTCAATTCCAGAGAAGTTTCCACTCCGGGTGCTTTGATCTTGTCGCAGACGCTCTCAGTTATGAACGTCCCATCAGACTGTGGATCCAGAATGGCGTAAACCATTTCCTTGTGCTCCGGTGTTGTCCGGTGATGGACCAGTACAGGCACGATCAGTGAATGAAAACATGGGGTTCCATCATCTGCATCGCTGGGCGGTGATCTGATTTCAGTTTTCAGTGTTGTAGCCGTTTGTGTTTCGACTGACACCGATCGTCCGGGAGTCCCTCTTGATGACCTGAAATCATCATCATGTAGGAGTGTCGGGTGAGCACCGTGACACTTTCCACATTCTCTTCTCCTCTTGCACTCCTTCCAGATGTGGCCTATACGCAGGCAGCCACGACACACTCCATGCTTGCGAATCACAACATGCTTCTCTGGCAGGGACATCTTTGCGAAGACCTCACATGAGTCCAGTGGATGCCTCTCTACGCACAGGACACACTTCCACCTGTAGCTGTCAGGAGCTGATTGGCTACTGCTGGTTGCTTGGTAGCTGGGATCAGTTCTTCTGAAATTCCTGTCCGACTTCCTTTCAGCTACTGCACCAGTCGAAGAAGCGAATGCTCCAGCTCTGTCTCTTGTTTTCTTCAGTTTGTCTTGGTCTGTCTCCAGCGATACTGGTCCACAGGCGACTCGAGCCTCTTTGGTCAAGAAGTTGACAAACACTTCTAAGCCTGGGTACTCTGACTTGTCGCGTTCATAGATGTGCTCATCTACAACCCTCCTCCAGCGATCTACAAGATATCGTGGAAGTCTTTTCAGCAGCTGGGTAATATCATCGATGTTCCCAAGATTGTTGAGTCCTGGTACTGTCTGAGCTGCCACCAGACAACCTTCCAGGAAATCTGCCAGCTCACGAAGGGCCTTGCCATCTCCAGGCCGAACATGTGGCCAGCTGTGGAGCCGCTGCCTATAGGCATTTGCTGTGACAAAGTCGTTTCCATACCTTTCAATCAGTTTCTGCTTTGCCTTAGAGTAGGCATCCACACTTCTCAACTGGAGAAGTCCTTGAATTGCACGTTTAGCACTTCCACCTGTGTAGGTTGCAAGATAGTGCAGTCTTTCTGTGCTCTCAGTAGTCCTTGACTCAATGTAACATTCAAATGACTTGAGCCACATTGCGAACTGCTCAACGTCACCCTTAAATACCTCAGGTTCAAGAACAGGCAGCTGGTTCTGTGACTTTGATATGATATGTGCCAGTCCTGTCAAAATTCCTTCGGCCTGAGCATTGCCATCTGAGTTCTTCTCTTGTGTTTTCACATTTGTCTTCACTTGTGTGTCCTTTTGATACTCATCTGGCCCATCTTCATTCAGAAGTTCTTGTTCAAACTTTTCGCTGATATCCTCTTGTGCGTTTTGAATGTCAAGCTGCACTTGTAACTCCAACTCCTTTTCTCTCAGCTCCAGATCCTGTCTTTCCTTCAGAAGTTCTTGTCTTTTCTTCACGGCCATCAGTTGCGCCTTCACTTCTGCCTTCTTTCTCTCATCCTGGAGACGCAGCATCATGAGGTTTGCTCTCATTGAACTTGATGTCGTACTAGCTCCTGCCACAGAGCCTTCAAGCTTTGTTTCATGATCAGTCAAAGCAAGTTCCTTTTGCAAAGCATCCACACCCTCTTTCATCTGGTTCAACTGTACCCCTATTTCTGCGTGGCTTGACAGATGCTCCTCCTTTCTGTCTGCAGGAAGTAGAGCTTGCAAATCGATAGCTGTTTGCATGAGCGTCACATATCCATGAAGCCACTGTCTCACCTTCTTTGTCACTGTTTTGTGGAAAACTTCATCTGCCTTGACCCTTTCGGACACATCTTCTTCCAACAGTTCAGCTCCTGTCTTCTTCAATTCCTTTAGAAGAACATTATAGCTCTTCTCCTTGGTTTCTAACTGGTATGCGGCACCTTTCGGATTTAATGTGACCTTTCTCCCACTCCTTCTAGCGAGCAGTGCTGCACCACCTTCCTTCGTTTCACCTTCCAGACCTTCCATCTTCTTACTTTCATCCATTTCAAAGCAGTTTCAAACAAAAAATAAAAGAAAAGTAAACACTACAGGTACAGGTTTATAGGTCGTTGGAAGAACTGAAATAATATGAGGCAAATAAAGTTCGACTCGGTGTATAGATTGTTAGTTCGGGTCATCTAACTACCTACAGGTTCAGAAATTGGTCCCAACGTTCATCTGGTTTTGTTCGGATTGGGGGATTTTTTACTGTAGCAGCATGTGGATAGGACATCAGTTTTCCTTTTAATTCAGTATATTCATCCAGATCCGCAATGCCACGTAAAAAACTGAAAAGACACAACACGGTATTATAACCCTCGTTTCCTCAACATTCCTGCGCCACATTCGCAACCAACTGATAACTGACTATAATATCTGACTAGAATGTTTTTGTTCACTCTTCAACATAACAAACTTAGGCAAAAAGGTATATGTCAAGTTTACGTCCTAAGCACATATCAATGATAATTGTTTCACATTCCTACGTATTTTGACGTGCTGAATCCAAAAATCATACTTACATGTCTCGCAAGAACAAAATTATCACCAATACACTAAGCAATTACACCTTCCCACAACACACGATCAAAACAAATCGAGAGGAAATTGAAAGTGTCCAGCCTTGCCATTTGTGAAAAATATTTTGTCCTTTTTTAATGTCGAGAAATAAAAACATTCAATATATTATAAAAATAAATAGGAAATATGTAAAAAATATTTATTTAAAAAGAAATATTATTATTAGAAATAGAATAGCAAAACAACAAAGGGGAAATGTTGGGAACCGGGGTTATTGGCTGGGGGGGGGGGGGAGGAAAGGAAAATCCTGAGAACTGGGGGGCGATTACTTGTGCAAAGTTGGCCAAAATCAAGAATGATATCTAACAGTTGCTATTCAACTGTGAATAATGACGTCATAATATTTCTCGCGGCGAAGCAGCGCAGTGCCGAAGGCAATGCCTTAGGAGAGATTACAGGCAAGAGTAAATCAAATATTTTTAGGTTAAGTGGTTATGTATCTGGCTTCAGGCCGAAGGCCTGAAGCCTGATGCATGACCACTTAACCTAAAAATATTTGATTTACTCTTGCCTTTCGGCCTGAAGCCAGATACATAACCACTTAACCTAAAAATATTTGATTTACTCTTGCCTGCAATCTATTCCTGCAAGCAACTTTTTCCTTATCCCCGGTAGGCAAAAATCAGTAGGTTAGGTTAGGTTAGGTTAGGTTAGGTTAGGTTAGGTTAGGTTAGGTTAGGTTAGGTTAGGTTAGGTTAGGTTAGGTTAGGTCAAGTCAGGTAAGGTTAGGTTAGGTAACAATTAGATTTGAGGCAAGAACCCCGATTCCTAAAATTTCCCAAATATTGTAACCATTCTTATCGTATTTTTCTCCATCCCCTCCCCACAAACCCCGGTTCCCGACATTTCCCTATGACGTCATTTTCATTTTTTCTCTCCCCCACCCATGAACCCCGATCCCCAACATTTCCCTGTTTTTCTAACCCTCCCCACCCAATAACCCCGGTTCCCAACATTTCCCCTTTGTTGTTTTGCTATTCTATTTCTAATAATAATATTTCTTTTTAAATAAATATTTTTTACATATTTCCTATCTATTTTTATAATATATTGAATGTTTTTATTTCTCGACATTAAAAAAAGACAAAATATTTTTCACAAATGGCAACGCTGGACACTTTCAATTTCCTCTCGATTTGTTTTGATCGTGTGTTGTGGGAAGGTGTAATTGCTTAGTGTATTGGTGATAATTTTGTTCTTGCGAGACATGTAAGTATGATTTTTGGATTCAGCATGTCAAAATATGTAAGATTATGAAAGAAATATCATTGAAATGTGCTTAGGACGTAAACTTGACATTTACCGGCAAAAACATCATCTAATCATAAACAAAAGCATACATACCAAAATATTAAAGAAAATACATTACTCACTCCGTCCCATGTCCCTCGGCTCGCTTTTCGTTCAAAACAATAACATTTCTTGCGCAGATGCGGCAAAAAACAGGGCCCACGCGGGCCACGCTGGTGGTCACCTAAACCACTGCAGTAAATTGATGCCAGCGGGAACAGGTACAGTCTACCCATCCAGGCAGTCTCCCCGCGAGCGAGGACAGGCCCGTGAGCTGCGACTGGACAATTCCTGGGATAAGCCAACGATGACAAACGGTCGACCCAGACCGCCTTCTGCAATGCATGGAGCTAATTCGGCCTCAGGAACAAATGACCGGCTGCAGGCTCACAGAGGCGGATCCAGCTCAGAGTTTTTTTTTTTTGGGGGGGGGGACCATAACAATTTATCGATTCTTTACATGCATCGTCCATAGGCGTGCCGCGTAATGTTAAAATTATGCCGTTTGGAGGGTAGGGGCAAATGCCTATTTTGCCCCCTGGATCCGCCACTGCAGGCTCATCACTTTCCACTGGCGGATCCAGAATCGTGGCCTCGGATGCTGCGAGGGATGTACCGATAGGCGTCGCCAGAGATTTTCGGTTGGGGGGGGGGGGCAAAATCAACTTTTGTGTGAAATCTTGCCTTTCCCCAGTCGCTACTCACTCATTTTGCATATCATTCGACGCGCAATGGTGCGAGGAATCCGATGGTGACAAAGTTTTCCTTCTAGCTATGACATGTATGTTTTTACAGAAAAAAATCGAAATTTTGAAATTTGTGGACAAAAACGACCGGTAGAAATTCGTGGATGCGCAGCCGTGGGAATTTCAGACGGCTCCGGCTCCGGCTCCGGAGAAAAAAAAATCGGTTCCGGCTCCGGCTCCGGGTGAAATGCCATGGCGGCTCCGGCTCCGGCTCCGGCTCCAAATGCTCAGTACGTCCCCTATACAGTTAAATACGGGTCGAAGAAAATAGACGATGGGATTGGTGCAAGTTGCTTCTGTATTTGCATAACAGGGCTATTTTCATATTTTGAATACCGCATGTTTTACTGCCATGAACTGTCAAACCGAACTAGGTCAATAATTTTTGCTCTTAAAAAAAGGAGCCGGAATCGCCCCCTTTTTTGACGGCTCCGGCTCCAGCTCCGGCTCCGGGCTATATTGTTTCACGGCTCCGGCTCCGGCTCCGGGCAAAATGTGCCGGCTCCAGTTCCGGCTCCGGCTCCGCACCCCTGGGTAGAATTACAGTGGCTGCAAAAGACGACGCACTGCAGAGGGCCCCTGTGCAGACTCTCGTCACTCATGATCATTACCCAGAAAAAGGTGAAAAACGCCCCATTTAATCGGATCACCCTGCTAAAACCTCCATTCACGCATGCATGCAGAGGTTTTACGTGAAATGCATAGGGCTTATCCCAGCCGCCGATTGTAGCTAAGTTGGGCATTCGGCGGAGACTGAGAGCGAATGTCGGAAGTGTGAATCGGAAGTAAATTAGTTGGTAATTCATCTTTGCTCCAGTGGAAGGAAGTGTTGTTCACTCGAGTGCGAACAAAAAGTTTCTTGTTTTTCGTGTGAAGGGAAGCGCTGCAAACGTGAACAAAAATGTTAAACGGAGCCAAAAGTTACGCACGGCATAGCGGCAATGGATCCCTTAGAGATAGGCTTTGGACTTCCAGGCCATCTCAAGCCACTCAGGGTCAGTGTGGACTCTCAGAAGCCTGCTTAGGTTCCCGGAGATCGGCGTGGGTCACCCCAAATATTTACGTGTATGTGGTGCTTTACGGCTTTCCGAGCCCAAGGTGGGGCCCTCAGAAGCCAGTGTGGGCGGCGGGCGCTAAGAGACTAGGCCCAGAGTGAGCCTAGAGCCCTCGGATAACTGTGAACCGTTGGGGTCTGTGTTGAATCCCTAAGGACCCTATGTAAGGACATAAGAAGCATGTGTTGCGGCCCATCAGATGCCGGCTTGGGGTTAGCAAAGTCTGTCGCTTCAAAAGTTCGGCTGAACTGTCAGAGGCCAGTTAAGGTTCTCATAAATTTTCGAAGGCATCCTAAAAGATTCGTGTGGCCCTTCAGAGGTCTACGTATGTATAAGGTCCTAAAAGATCCCTGTATGGGCCCTCAGAGAACATGGACACCAGTGGGACTCTCAGTGGCCGGTTTGGGCCCTCTGAAAGCTTTTTAGACATCAGTGGAGCTCCTTAGGAGCCTGTGTGGAAAGCAAGCTCATGAGCCCTGCGGCACTTGAACGGTACTTGAGCCTGTCGCAGACATTTGACGAGTCGAGAAAGGCCCCATAGATTTCGTGTCACGCTTTGAACGAAAATTATGTGTCAGCACTCCAAAACTTATGAAAATCAGCTATAAAATGTAATAAAGAACCAACTAAGAACATGGAATGAATCACAGCATTGACATTTCCGAGTCTGGAGTCGGAGTCTTGAAGATTTTGGGGACTGCGACTCTGACTTTGGTTTGAACTGCACGCTCCAACCGAGTCTGATCTTACAGACATTCTCAGAAAGGTACCCCTATTTTTTCCCGACTCCAAAATCTCATCGGATCTGTATCGATCTCAGGGGGTGCCCGGTCCGAGGTTGGGGGGGGGGGGGCAAGCTGCCCCGCTTGCCCCCCCCCCGTGGCGACGCTTATGGATGTACCTATCAATATATCCCCAAAAAAGCTTCTCCAAATCAGGAAAAATCCTGGAATTTCGATTTCTTTGGCTATGCTGAGCAGTTTAAGCAAACTATTCGTAATAAACGCTGTGATCATGACGTTTTCACAAAACAATAAATGTTCATCATCGATTTCGGGGGCTGCATGGGAGAGGCAGGCCCAAAACACCCTTCCCCCAGATCTGCCTGTGTCACTTTTGGCTTAATACGGCTCATGATTCTGCAGTCGTGCACCGCTGCGCCTGCAATTTGCAATATGCTTGGCGCGTCACTCAATTCGCAAGCAATCGTAAAGCGCGCTCCATTCCGATCAGTCCAACTTCGGAAACGGGGTCTCGGCTCGTTGGTCTAGGGGTATGATTCTCGCTTTGGGTGCGAGAGGTCCCGGGTTCAAATCCCGGACGAGCCCGTTGGTTTTGGCTTGCACTTGCAGCAATGCAAGAGTGATTTGTGGCTCTGCACACATTGATATGTCAGGCTGGGATCCGGTCGGGGAGAGAAGCTTCGATATGTGAGTAAATGGTGTGTCCAAAAATATCGAGGCACCAGAACAAGACTACTTTTTTATTAAAAAGTAAGCGGCACTGACTGAGGGGAAAGACAAATGAACACATAACAATATAGATCATCATTGGCATTGTATAATATTTTCCCGAGCACCTTGTCTTTGAAAAAAAATCCAAACAATTCTCAAATTCAGGATGATGTTCGCGCCTGAATGCCTTCGCTCGGTTGACCTCGCTGCATAAAGATACTTCGCTTGTGAAGCTGCTCACCACCGTCTTGAGGGCTTCTACGGATTGCGGGGCCAAGCATTCTGGTAACACTTATGTAGAAGCCCCCCAAAAGGTGGTGAGCAACTTTGCGGTGAGGAAAGGCAAGAGGCCCTCATTTCATGAGCCACCAAATCAAGGGAGTGGAAGATTTGAAGTGTGAAAGTTGTCCTTAGTCTGATCATCGCCGGGGGTGGGGGGGGGGGGGGGGGGTGGGGCAGGAACTGATTGATGACAATGGAAGTGCGCTCAAAAGATGTGTCCCAAAATACTAATTGCAAAAATGCATTGAATAGTTATGTAGCTCTGTGTAGTCTGTGATCTGTCAGTGCCACTCACTGAAAAAAATCGCTTTTACAAATACCCCGCTGACCGGATCTGACCTGGTCTGTCCTGGCTTTGTTTCAGCGGTCGTCGGCGGACCGCGAGCCGACCGACCTGACCTCCGACCTGGTGGCCTACTGCCTGGCGTCTGTGTGCTCCGACAAGGCCGTGCAGCCGGCAGAGGCCGAGATGTTGGCGCTGCGACTGCTCCAGCCGGCCCACCACCCCGCACTCGGTGAGTCCCGCTCGTGTGCCTCTCATATGCTTCCTCTCCATGTTTGAGAGTAACTTGAAGTAAGATTACCCTGCCGGTGGTCTGTCTGTGACCTGACCCACCCGTCTGACCCCTTGACCTCTGCGTGACCTCCAGCGGCCGACCACCCGGACCTGTGGTGTCGGATCGTCACCAAGATGGGCCTGGAGCCGGCCGAGTTCATCCGTCACCGTCAGACCAATCTAGTCAAACTGTTCACCGACGACTATCAACCCACGCCGGTACGTTCGCATCGCAACAGCACAGTCAGCTGATGCGGGATACCCGGACTTCGAGGCGCTGAATGAATGAATGAATGAATGAATGAATAAATGAATGAATGAATGAATGAATGAATGAATGAACGGATGAATGAATAAATGAATGAACGGATGGGTGAATGAGTCAATGAATGAATGAATGAATGAATGAATGAATGAATGAATGAATGAATGAATGATTGAATGAATGAATGATTGAATGAATGAATGAATGAATGAATGAATGAATGAATGATTGAATGATTGAATGAATGATTGAATGAATGATTGAATGAATGAATGAATGATTGAACATGTTTAAATTTAAGAGTCGATGGGCTTATTTCTATTGTTTTGATGAGTCGCGTTTAATTTACTTGCATAATAATAATTGGGTACGGGAGTTCGGGGGGGGGGGATGCTGTTGCATTGCCGAATAGGCTGCAGCTGGTGCAGACAGCGATGAGAAAAAGAACGATTGGGCTCGTCCGGGATTTGAACCCGGGACCTCTCGCACCCGAAGCGAGAATCATACCCCTAGACCAACGAGCCGATGGAGTCGGAGCGGGAATCAATTCATTCTGTAAAATAGTTGTCATTCCGCGGCCGTCGCACTGCGCGCGCGTCAACCTGTGCCCCGGACTCGGGTCACCCAGCTGACTCCCCGCTGACTGTCGGTCGTCGGTGCCGCCAGACGTGGGAGGCGGCGTTCTCGACGCTGACGACGCTGGCCGGCGACGTGCTGCTGCCGGACGTATCGCAGTTCGTGCTGAGCCGACTGCGCGACGAGCGCCTGATGGCCGTCACACTGGAGGAGTTCAACATCTATCGCACGCCCGAGGGGACGCTGTACGACACCAGCGTCAAAGACAGGTGAGCTGTGTTTTCCCAATGTACTAGCAAGTAGCAATGCACTAAGGACACTCTTCTGCCGTCCTTTGTCGCTTCTTCCTCGCCGTGCGTCTGACTCCCGGCCTCCTGTCTTCCCATAGCGCCAAGGAGGTGCAGTCAGGTAACATTGCGCGTGAGAGCAAGCTGTACTCGTACAAGGAGCAGATGGAGGAGATTGCGCTTCGTAAGGAGTTGGAGGCGAAACGGGCTCGCGAGGGCCGCGCAGGGCCCGAGAAGCTGACGCCCAAGCAGAAGGAGGCGGTGGCCCAACAGCTAGAGAAGGAGAGCAAGATCCGGAGCCGTGTTGCAGAGGTGAGCGTTCCGGTGGGCTGATTGACGGACACCGGTTCGGAGTGTCCGGTGGTCAGTCGGTGACCGCTTTTGTTCACAGCCTGACGTCTGTTTCTGTCGGTGTTCCGTGTGTGCTGTGTCCTTGTTTTTGTCTCTGATCTGCACCATCGTGTTCCTGCGGCGTGTCCCTGAGGTGCGCGTTGTGACTCCTTCGGTGCCCGCTACGGCCTCTCCAGGATACCTACACGTCTTTTGTGCTGTGACCTCCCCAGTATCCGCTCTGACCTCTCACGTACCCGTTGTGACCCCTAGTACCCTCTGCGACCTCTAGTACCCGTTCTGACCTCCAGTACCCGCTGTGACCTCTCTGTCACCCGTTCTGACCTCCCCGCTCCCGTCACCAGGTGGACAGCCAGTTCAGCGTGGCCGCCTCCCTGCTGCGAGGGGCGGTTGGCGGCGACCCGGCGGCCCTGCAGCAGCAATACACAGAGCTGGTGCCGGCGCTGCTGGCCTCCCTGCAGTCAGCTCTGGCGGCGCCGGTCACCAGCCAGCTCTGGCTGCGGCTCGTCCGACTGGCCTTCGCCAAGGAGGACCACGTACTCGGTGGGTGACGGGATGTCGGCGGAGGGCTGATCTGGGCAGGATAGCTGGCGAGAGGGATGGTGGGGCGGCTTGGTAGATGTAGCGAACTTTGAAGCCGGGAGTCAGACGGTTTTCGTGGCGAAGAGATTGTGCCTACTTTGATGTGTTTTTTTTTATTATTATTTAGGTCTTGAAGCCCAGCTGTTTCGGTGACGGCATTCTATACCCGATTTCTTTGCAGCTTCATAATTTCATCCATATTTACGTTTCCTCTCAACAGCGCACCGCACTGACCTCTGCCGTCCCCGTCCACACCAATGCACGTCCCCCTCACCGTCCCTCCCTCTCCCCTGGCAGCGGAGACGGTGGCGCGCGTGACGCTGCGCCTGTGCGCGCCGCAGTGTGTCCCTCACAGCCCCCCCCCCTCTCCGCCGGCAGCTGAGACGGTGGCGCGCGTGACGCTGCGCCTGTGCGCGCCGCAGTGCGTCCCCCTCACCGTCCCTCCCCTCTCCCGGCAGCTGAGACGGTGGCGCGCGTGACGCTGCGCCTGTGCTCGCCGCAGTGCGTCCCTCACATTCCCCCTCCTCTCTCCCGGCAGCTGAGACGGTGGCGCGCGTGACGCTGCGCCTGTGCGCGCCGCAGTGCGCCACGGACGCCGGCTGGGAGGCCGAGCGGCCGGCGTCGGCCGTCTACCGGCGGGTGGTGCTGGCGCTGTACGACCGCTGCTCGGCCGGGGACGGCTCGCCGCTCAGCGCGCCCGCCTTCATCGTCTGCTTCCCGCTGCTGCGCCATGTGCTGGAGACGGACACCGAGAACGAGGACGTGATGATCAAGGGACTCAAGGTGAGGAGCGGTGGAGGGATAGGGACAGCTACAGAACACATAATTGACAGGCAAACTCATCGTACTAATGGCTCTACGAACTAAGAACGGATATTCTTATGCTTGTCACTATTTCAGTTATGCCATGATGGCCTAGGTCGATTTCTCTTGTTTTCTTCTTACAGCTGGCTGATAGCTTGCGCCCTTGTTTGTTTCACCCGTTTATCCGCGCGTATCCCGTTCACGAGACAACTCGTAAGTGACAAGTGTCCCGTTCACCTAAGTCTGACGCTGTCTCGTCTCCCCTCTGGACAGCTGGTGGAGATGCACGCCCAGCTGCGTGGCGATGGTGACCTGCTGGACCCGTCCCTGCTGCCGCGAGAGGCGCTCGACAGGCTTGTCCTGCGCATCATCGGTAGGTCATGTCACTTGTCAGGTCAGGTTGGGTGGGATAAAGTGGCGGTCCAACCGGTCACGAAGCCACTGACTCGGAAGGTTCTCGTGATGCGATCCATAATTGTTGTTCTCGCGGGTTAAAGTGTCCAGGATGTAAGATAACTTAGGAAATAAAATTTTAATTTTTGTGCAAGTTCTAACTTTGCCTGGACTTCAAGACGACAGACGTTTTTTGACTGTCTGCATGACGTAACATCTTACCACATCAAGTAAAAATAATTACGAGCGAGCGAGCGCAGCGAGCGAAGTGAGTCTTTTCAATATAACGAAAAAATCTCAGTATGAGCGGCCCGGCCCGGCCCGGCCCGGCCTGTAACGCTTTTGAGAGGCTTATATCTCAGCAACCGCTGGACCGATTGGCCTGCGGTCTTTTTTGTTGGGTAGCCCCATCCCTTCTACCCCGTAATTGACTCCTTTTGATACATCTCAGTGACCGTCGTGGCACGTGCCACGTGAAAAGTCAAGGGTGTTCAAGCTGTTTTGCAAAAGTAATGATTTTGAGAGGCTCATATCTCAGCAGCCGCTTGGGCGATTGACTTGCGGTAATTTTTGTAGGGTAGCAGCATCTCTTCTACCAAAAATAGGATACTCTCGATGCATGTGGGTCACCCCCAGTGCACGTGCAAAATACAACAATAAGAGGTGTCAAATTTGTTCCCATTTTAATAACTCAGTAATTACTGGGGCGATTTCGCTGAAACTTGGCATACAGGTAGGCACCCACCAGGCAATGCATTCCCATGTGTTGCGGTTAGGGCGCTACTGCACGTGCGCACGTGCAGGGGGCGTTTCCAGATCTCGAGAACGGCTGGGCCGATTGCGCTCAAATTTGATACACGGTTGGGGACCGGTTAGTAGGGTGCCGCGCAAAAGTCATTTTGGAACCCGTTTGCACGTGCGCACGTGCAGAATGCCGCCTCCAGATCTCAGGAACGGCTGGGCCAATTGCGTTCAAATTTGGCACACCGCTAGCGACCGGTTAGAAGGGTGCTTTGCACAAGCTCGTTGGAAGTACCCTCTCGCCCTTCCGCACGTGCAGGGCTCACTATCTCGCTCGCTCGTTCTTCGCCCAAAAGGCGTTTTACTGGTAAAGTAAAAATAAAGTAAAAATATCCCAGATGATGCTAGCTCACGTCTAACTGGTTGTCGAGATTAAGCATCAAATCATCCATGACCCCCGCTCCGTCGCACCACCGCATTTTCACCACTCCAACCTGGCGTCTCTATGTTTTTTTTATATGCTCCACGCTCGTCTCTAGTCTGTCCGTCTCCGCCCGTCCTGACCAGCTTTCCGCCCTCTCGCCGCCTTCCCCCCTCTCCCTCCTCCCCGTCCTCCAGCCGTGCACGGCCGCCGGCTGGCCTCCGAAGTCACGCCGCCGCCGCCTCTCTCGGTCACCACCACCGCCGTCACCACGGCAGGCACGGCGTCGGGCCGCGTGCAGCAGAAGGCGTGCGGCGCCCTGCTGGAGCTGGCAGCGGCCGCCGCCGGCGAGGAGGGCTGCGCGGTGGCCGGCAGAGCCGAGGTGCAGGTGCTGCTGGACGCTCTGCGCAGTCCGGTCGACTCGGTCCGGGATGCCGCGCTCCGGGTGAGTGGAGAGGGGGGGGGGGCGGGAAGTGGAGTGGGTGTGGGCGTTGCAAGAAGGTTAGGTAGGGTATGCTGGCCGTTAAGGTAGTGGTTTTAGGACCACTTTATGAGTTTAAACAAAATATTACTCGCATAATTGCGATAGCGTATGCTAATTCTTCTTCCATGTTAACTTAGTCGTACTCACAGCTTTAGTCTATCATGGTCAGCCGTACACAGTATCCGTCAGATCATTCAGTCATGCAACTGATGACCCGTTTCCCACATCTGACTCACACATCTCGTCGTCTCCCTCAGAGCCTGGACGTTCTGGCGGACGTACTCGACTGTCTGGAGGGCTCCGACCTGTCCGCAGTGCTCGCCGAGCGGGTCTTCCTCGCACGATTCGACGTCTCCGAGGAGATCAAGTATGTTCCTACCGCTGATGATCGCCGAGAGGTGACATTGGGAGAGATCTGATTTCAGCCGTTTGTTTTACTACCTTTTCTTTATAGACGAATAGTTCCGATATAAATGTTCTGTAACAGAACCATTGCAACATTGTCAGTTGTGCCCGGCGACGAACAATGCCGTATAATTTTTAGTCGGCCAGTGACCTGCTGTGATGACCCGACGGCTGTCTGGGCCGCTTGTCGCCCTTTACTGACCTGTTCCTTACCTCGTCTCCAGGTCGGCCGGTGACCTGCTGTGGGAACGCCTCTCGCTCACCGAGGGCCCCTGACTGACCCGTGCTGCTCCCTATCCCCAGGTCGGCCGGTGATCTGCTGTGGGAGCGCCTCTCGCTCTCCGAGGGCCCCTGGATGATCGCTCCGCTGCTGGAGGACGTGGTGTACCCGGAGGAGTGCGTTCAGCGGGCGGCGGCCAGCGCGCTGGCCAGTCTGGTGGACGGACACAGAGACCAGACCGCGCCCGTGCTGGACCGGCTGCTGGCGCTGTACGAGGACAAACTGCAGGTCAGACCGGAACGCCAAACGAGTTGTTTGGAAAGCTGCTCATGTCGGCAGTCCTCTTGTGCTTTGTGCCGTTGTGTATCCTAAATCATATTAACAGTGGCTTTGAACTTCTTTTTTCGCTTTTCAGCAGCTGATGTAAGCCGTGCGTCACAGTGTATTTAATCTCGCATTCAGTTTCAGTTCGGCGTGATTTCAGTTTGCAGATGCCGTCGCCGTTATGGACGGCAGGGCTTGAGGATTATTAGATGCGCACTTCGGTCGGGTGGTGGAGGAATATATGATTCTGTCTGACACTTTGTGTTTTAGATGACTATCACTCTGTCGGTGCTGGATCAGTTTGGTCGGGTGGGGGATATATGACTCTGTCTGACTCTCTGTTACAGATGACACCCCCAGTACTGGACCAGTTCGGTCGGGTGGTGGAGGGATGCATGACTCAGTCTGGCACTCTGTTACAGATGACCCCCGGTGCTTAACCAGCTTACTCGGGTGATGGAGGGTTGTATGATTCACTGTTGTTTTCTGTGTTACAGATGACTCCGCCTGTACTGGACCAATTCGGCCGGGTGGTGGAGGAGTCTTTGGATATCTGGCAGCCCCGCGTCGGTGTGGCGCTCGCCCTCAAAGCCATTGGACCGTTCTGCACTGACGACCTCATCGCAAAGTACGTCTAAGATCACTCAGCTGTCGCCCATTGCTCACCAAAAGTGTGGTGAGGCGCTATCCTCTGACCTGTGCCCTTCTTTTCTCAACTGCTTCTGTGTCTAGTCTTTTTGCTCCAGCCCATGCCCTGAGAAGTAGTCCCAGCTGAATGTGCTGACCGGGCCGGCGCCTCTCGGCAGGATCATGTCGTTTTTCGTACCGACCGGCCTGGGTGACCGCGCGGCCGACGTCCGAAACGGAATGCTCTCGGCGGCTCTCACCTGCGTCGAGGCTAACGGGAAGGTGGGTGTGGCCTCTGACGTCGCTCAGACAATCGTTTCACTTTCACTGGTGCCGGTTATCGGGCTGTGAGAGCAGGCACAGCGCTCGGTCCACGCGCTCGCCGGCAACGGAAAAATTGTTGTGGTAACTGGCTCGTTGGTCTAGGGGTATGATTCTCGCTTAGGGTGCGAGAGGTCCCGGGTTCAAATCCCGGACGAGCCCACTGTTTAGCTCTGGAGGCATGTGTTCTGTATACGATGGACGTGTGAGTCGTGAGAAACACGGAAATATGCAGGAAATACTGCAGTAGCGGTGGCCTGGGTTCTCATGACAGTGAGGCAGGGCTGGAGTAATGAGAAACCTGGACTCTCACAATTCAGCCCCTGCTGTCTCAGGGCTTTCCCACAAGAACATCTGGCCTTTTAACTCGCTCTCCGCCCTCTGAAATTCTATGCGGCTGGCCGCCACCCAGCTATGCCCACTGACCCGTCGTATGTGTATGTGCATTCAGTCGTCACCAGTTATGCCCTCTGACCATCTGTTTATGTCTGCGCAGGAGGCGGCCACCAGTCTGCTGCCCGTGTTTGACGAGTTCCTGGACTCGGCGCCGGCCACGCAGAACTACGACTCTGTCCGCCAGTCGGTCGTCATCCTGATGGGATCGCTGGCCAAACATCTCAGCAAGACGGACCCCAAGGTGAAGCCGATCGTCACCAAGCTGATCCAGGCGCTGGACACGCCCTCCGAACAGGTACGGATGGAGAGACAGACGGCTTGGACGACTGGACTCTAGTGAGCCAAGGTGGGGATTTTTTGTGTGAGTGTGGGGGGTGGGGAGTGGATGAGAGGAGACCCTGATATTAGCTGGAGTCCACCAGTCCCCAGGTACAGCATTGGCTGTGTCCTGGTTTCGGTTTGCGGCATGACCTGACCTGACCGGACCTGTGACCTCAGGTATAAACCTTGGCGTCCTGTCTGACCTGACCTGGTCTGACTTGTGACCCCAGGTACAAACCTCATGGTCGTACTATCTGACCTGACCTGGTCTGTGACTTCAGGTACAAACCTCCTGCCGTTCCGTCTGACCTGACCCATGATCTCAGGTATAAACCTCCTTGCCAACCTGTCTGACCTGACCCGACCTGTGACCTCAGGCACAAACCTCTGTGGCGTCATGTCTGCCGGCGTTGGTGCCTGACCTGACCTGTGACCTCAGGGTCAAACCTCTGGCGTCCTGACTGCCCTGACCTGACCTGTGACTTCAGGTACAAACTGAAAACCTCCGTGGCGTCCTGTCTGACTTGACGTGACCTAACCTGTGACCTCAGTTACAAAACCTCTGGCGTCCTGTCTAACCTGACCTGACCTCTGACCTCAGGTACAAACCTCTGTAGCGTCCTGTCTGCCGGTGCTGCTGTCTGACCTGACGTCCTGTGACCTCAGTTATAAGCCTCTGTGGTTTCCTGTCTGACCCGATCTAACCTGTGACCTCAGGTACAAACCTCCGTGGCGTCCTGTCTGCCGGCGCTGGTGCCCGCCATCAAGGAGGACGCTCCGGCCATGGTCCGTCAGATGCTCGGCCGTCTGCTCGAGTCGGATAAGTTCTCCCAGCGGCGCGGCGCCGCGTACGGTATCGCCGGCCTTGTCAAGGGCCTGGGCATCCTGGCGCTCAAACAGCTGGAGATCATGACGGTGCTCATCAACGCCATTCAGGACAAGAAGGACTGCAAGAAGCGAGAGGGTGCGTACGATCAGATGCTGGCGACGGACCTGCTACTGCAGCAGTGTGGTGTGGTGGGAATATAAACGTAATGTAGGTTGAAAATCACTATTGATTTCTCGTTTCACAAATGATAGCTTAACCAGTAGCTAGTGTATCTGATACCGGCTGATGTTTTGAATTTGCTCGCCTTTGGTGGTTTCCCCGATGTTGATCAGTCGTCACCCTGTTTGCCTCCCACGCGTACCGTTGACTATCCATGAGAAATACCTCCTCCTCTGTCAGATGACTGAGTGACTGAGTGACCACACCTCTCTTGTTCGTCCGCCAGGTGCGCTGTTTGCCTTCACCATGCTGTGCAACATGCTGGGCCGCCTGTTCGAGCCGTATATCGTACACGTGCTGCCGCACCTGCTGCTCTGCTACGGCGACTCCAACTCGTACGTGCGTGAGGCCACTGACGAGACGGCGCGTGCCGTCATGTCCAACCTGTCTGCGCACGGAGTGAAGCTGGTGCTGCCCTCGCTGCTGGCCGCCCTGGAGGAGGACTCGTGGAGGACCAAGGCCGGTGAGTTGACCGAGCTGCAGGGTGGGGAGGAGAAGGGGGAGCGGGCTTTTCTAGGGTGGTAAGAGTAATGCTTGAGTGTTGATTTTGAATTACTTATCGATGTGTGATGAATCTACTTAGGTACACATTTTTTTTACGTAACCCATGTCTTCTTTTTTCAGCAAATTTTGTTGATAAGTCTTGCGATCGGTTCAAGGAAGGAAGAAAGGACGGAATCGAGGAAAACGTTACCCTTTGCGCGTTTTCTGTCGCGCATATTTTAAGGCTGTACGGGACCGCCATGGGACCACCATTGTGCTCTTCCCTCCCCCGCCTCTCCTCTCGTTACTTGAACTGACCTTTCGGTCTCGCGCCTTTGACAGGCTCCGTGGAGCTGCTGGGCTCGATGGCGTTCTGCGCGCCCAAGCAGCTCTCGTCCTGTCTGCCGAGCATCGTGCCACAGCTGATCGAGGTGCTGGGAGACTCCCACCAGCGGGTGCAGCGGGCTGGCGCACAGGCACTCAAACAGATCGGCTCCGTCATCAGGAACCCCGAGATCCAGGGTGGGTGTTGATATGGAATACCGAGATCCAAGGTAGCTGACTGTACGGATCCCTGAGATCCAGGATAGGTGATAATATTGAAGTCCGAGATCCAAGGTAGTTGATAATATATAAGTCCGATATCCAGGGTAGGTGGCTGAATGGAACCCTGAGATCCAGGGTAGGTGATTACATTGAAGTCCGAGATCCATTGTTCATGATAATATGGAACCCTGGAGATGCATAGTAGGTGCTAGGTGATATCACGGGAAACCGAGATACGTGTTAGGTGCGGTATATGATCCAGACTTCAAGGGTAGACGACGGCAAGGAACCTCGAGGTCCAGGGAAGTTGGCTGTACAGGATATTCCGGTTCGGGGTGATAATGCACACAATCTTTGTCCATTGTGAGCAATGCAGCCCATTGTCATGCCAAGCCGTCTCCCGCCGTGTCGGTTCGTTTCTGACATCCCCCGCCTCCCCCGGCAGCGATCGTTCCGACGCTGCTGTCGGCGCTGCAGGACCCGGCCAACCGCACCTCGCTGGCGCTGACCATCCTCATCGACACCAAGTTCGTGCACGTCATTGACGCGCCGTCGCTGGCGCTCATCATGCCCGTGGTGCAGCGCGCCTTCCAGGTACGGCCACGGGCGGTTCGGGGCTCTGTTCATGAGTTACGGATGCTCACTTGTTCCATCGAGCACGGATTAAACGGTCTCGTAGCTTGATTTAGAAATAAGCTTGCTGGTAAGAACACAGAATAACTGAACTTGTACTCTGGCCTCTGAACAGGTGAACTGACTGAAAGCATTACAAAACTGAGAGTTCGTTTATCAAAAAGAGTAAGTTTTAGCTTGAGCCGTGCTTTCCGACACTTCGTATTGCGGCGGACTGTGACTACTGCGATGTCTGAGTTGTGCCTTCCCCGTCCCGCAGGACCGCTCCACCGAGGTGCGCAAGATGGCTGCGCAGATCATTGGGAACATGTACTCTCTGACAGACCAGAAGGACCTGGCGCCCTACCTGCCGGGCATCATCCCCGGCCTCAAGTCGTCGCTGCTCGACCCGGTGCCCGAGGTGAGCGCCGACCGCCGCCGGGGTGTCAGTGGAGTGGATTTAAGGATCAACCTACTTAGTGGATCGGAAAAGAAGAGGAACTTTTCCGATTCTGAAAATATAAGGAGCTTTACCGATCGATGCTAGAGATAAAATATGTAGTCATTCATCCAATCGTTCCGAAAGGATTTCTTACTTAGCTTGACTGGTGGCAGACTGCTCTCAAAGTGCAGCATGTGTGTTAAAGCGTCTCGGCCTCTTTTAGACTACCGAATGTAACATTGCCCTACCGTATGTAGCGGTGTCCTACCGTGCGTAACGGCCTCCTACCATCTCCTGCACAGGTGCGCAGCAAGTCCGCTCGCGCGCTGGGCGCCATGGTGCGCGGTATCGGCGAGTCGTCGTTCGAGGACCTGCTGCCGTGGCTGATGCAGACGCTGACCTCCGAGCAGAGCTCTGTGGACCGCTCGGGCGCCGCGCAGGGTCTCAGCGAGGTGGTCGGAGGACTGGGCGTCCAGAAACTGCACAAACTCATGCCGGGTGAGTGGAGAATGAAAAGGGAAGCGCAAACGGGCAGTGATGTAATAATGAAAGGAACATGATTTCTGGGGTGAGAAGCTAGAAAGCTGAAGAATTGGCATTTTATTTGTAATTGCCTGAGTCTCTCCAAATTTCTTTCATTGGGTTGCTACAAAGTAAGCGTTTTTTTTTTGTAGAGGATTTGCACCAGGACGCCAGTGGCTGGTGTCATGGTGACGCGAGGAGACGCCAGTGACTGGCGTCTTGCTTGCCATCAATATTTTGCCACAAATAGCTTTGCACAGTGCACATCCTCATTGACCTCGAGCCCGACTGTGGCCACTTATTTATGCTCTCCGGTGTGTTCACAGACATCATCGCCACGGCCTCTCGGACGGACATCGCGCCGCACGTCAAGGACGGCTACATTATGATGTTCATCTACATGCCAATGGTGTTCCAGGAGGAGTTTACCCCCTACATCGGACAGATCATCCCGGCCATCCTCAAGGTGGGACCCGCGGTCAACAGACGGCTTCTTACAGCTGGTCTACATAACCACAGGTCCTTTCATTATATTCCAAGAGGAGTTTACCCCCTACATCGGACAGCATATCCCGGCTAGCCTTAAGGTGGGACCGCCGGCCGATGGATGTTCTACCACCTGATGTGTTATTGCTGAGGACAATGCTGGCTGGGTTGTGCTGAATGGTTAGCAGATTTTAGATGAGAAATATCTATGGTTCCTTCATGTTATCTTCACTCCAATTACAGCAGTTCTGTTTAATATCACATGTCTGTCGCGTGTTGGCACAACAACCCGGCCGGATCGAATGATGCCTTCACAAACCGTTTGTCCATCCTGTTTCTGGTAGAACACTGATCTCCGGTCTCCACCCACTGCCCGCTCTGACCGCGCCTACACCCTCCCCGACAGGCGCTGTCCGACGAGACCGAGTTTGTGCGCGACACGGCGCTGAAGGCCGGCCAGCGGATCGTGCACACGTACGCCGCCTCGGCCATCCAGCTACTGCTGCCCGAGCTCGAGACGGGCATGTTCGACGACAACTGGCGCATTCGACACAGGTTGGTACCGCGGTGATGGGTGGAAGGGGGAAGGTCACAGTACAATGGGTAATTTGTTTTTGTTTTTTGTTTTGTTGGGTTAGGCCCTTTCGGTCTGGCAAGATCATTTCAGAGCCGGGAGGTTGATAGGATATAGGGGGAGACATTGGTCTGGGCAGGCACCCTAATGAGTCGCCGGGGCTGAGCCCGTCCAGAGGACAGGCCACCCAGCCCCAAGGCACTCACTGCACCCGGCTACGGGGTGCGCTCCCTCGGGAGCAGCGGTGCCGCTCCAAGGGAGCAGCCCGCATGAGATAAAGGTGCCTGTCCAGCCCGGAGGGGGTTGCGGCGTGGAGGAGAAGGATTTCTGTATCCTGAGGATAGAAGCACGGAACGGTGTGGTTTTTGTTGTTAGTGGAAGGACGGGAACAGTCGCGCTATGGCCCCGAAGTGTCGCTTCGACAAGTCTAAGTTATATGCTCAGCTTGTTAAGTCAATCATTACATTGTTTGCCGCAATTTTTGGCTTAATATATTTTGTTTATTTGGAAGTACATGTATAAGTACGTATAGAAGTAGCTCGTCGCAGTGCCGTGTCTGGAGCTCTGACGTTCGCGCGCGGCATTGCTGCGCCGCTCCGAGCGCCGCCCCGCGGCCGTCCGTCTCGTGTCGAGCGGGCTGTGAGGCGGCCGTGTCGTCACTGATAACGTCACGGCTGAGGCCTGAGCCGGTCCGTGATTGCCGAAAAATGCGGTCAGTGGGCGGGATCTGTGAAACGAAAGCGCCCCGGCCGCTCGCTCCTCGCACTCCGGCGGCCTTTGCTCGTGGCTCGTTGGTCTAGGGGTATGATTCTCGCTTAGGGTGCGAGAGGTCCCGGGTTCAAATCCCGGACGAGCCCTGCGTTTTGAAGCGGTTGCAAATTGCAATTGCAATGGAAGGTGCATGTTATGAAGTGCACCTTGCAGAATTGCCAACTGAAAATGAGTATTTGCCGTGTGTGCATAATGCATAGCATTTATCGCTGACGGTAACAACATTGGTAATGAGCATATGTTACTCCATGAAGCTTTAATCAGCTGTCCCCTTCGTTGGATTGTGAGTAGCAGATGCAACACATTGTCGAATACCGATTTGAGAATGCTCATTTGCTTGTGACCCTTGTTGACAATCTCCAATGCCTTGGATGAGAAATGTGTGCCTCCCATCCATGCCGATGCAATCCGGGCGCTCAACCAGCCTCGTCGCCTGTATTTGCACCACACTGTAGGCACTGCTGCGAGTAGTCGTCCAGTATCTGCTGCCTGTTAGTTACACTCACGTCAGGTCCCGGTCTGTCCTATGATGTAACTCTGGCCTGGTATATTCACAGCTCCATCAAACTGCTGGGAGACCTGCTGTACCAGATCTCCGGCGTCTCGGGTAAGATGAGCACGGAGACTGCCGGCGACGACGACAACTTCGGCACGGAGCAGAGCCAGCAGGTGAGGGTTTGGTGGGGTGGTGGGGTGGAAAGAGTTGACGGTAAGAGGAGCCGCATGTCGACATTCATGCGAAAGTGCAGCTTTTTTCTTTAGTGAAGCCATTACCTCAGAAGTATGTATACGAGAAATAATTCCTGAGCGCCATAAAACCTTTGTGTTTTCTTATTATGTATCGCCCAAATAAATAAATTGCTGTTACAGATTTTGCTGCATCTGCCTCTGTATCCCCTGATCATCTGTGCTTTCAGAGTCATGCGGACTAACCACTCCATTTCTACCGCCAGAGTATCATCAAGATCCTGGGCCCGGAGCGTCGGAACCGCGTGCTCTCCGGACTGTACATGGGCCGCTCGGACGTTGCGCTGATGGTGCGCCAGAACTCGCTGCACGTGTGGAAGATCGTGGTGCCCAACACGCCGCGCACGCTGCGCGAGATCCTGCCGACGCTGTTCACCCTGCTGCTCGGCCACCTGGCCAGCACCAGCCACGACAAGCGGCAGGTCGGTATAAGAGGCAGGAGGCTGGGACAGGGCGTGCAGACAATGATAGCCAGTCGATTGGTTGGTGTCGAGGGACGGGTCTGCTAGTGGGGTCCGTTGCGGGCGGCAATGACTTCCTCTCAGCTCGCTTTACAATGTTTGCTATCACCGATTGCTATGTTTATGGCAATGCTCGCTACGCTTATGGCAATCATGCTTGCTACGCCACGTCACATTTCAAATGCATAAACCTCTACCCTGTCGCAGTATGTCCTCACCCGGCACGTTTCTTGTCGTCTCCGACAGGTGGCGGCCCGCACGCTCGGCGACCTGGTGCGGAAGCTGGGTGAGCGCGTGCTGCCGGAGATCATCCCTATCCTGGAGCGCGGCCTGGAGTCTGAGGAGGCCGACCAGCGCCAGGGCGTCTGTATCGGACTTAGCGAGATCATGTCCTCCACTAGCAAGGATATGGTGCTGGCCTTCGTGGACAGCCTGGTGCCCACAGTGCGGTGAGTGGACTGTGGAGAGGGGTAGACTGAAGGGCTGGGGGCCTGGTAGAGTGGCTGAGTGGACAGCTCGGAGTCCACAGTCCGGTGAGAAGGAGTCGAGAGGAATAGGGTGTACTACTGATGGGCTGGGAGAGATAGGATGGCTGTGTGTGTGTGGGGGGGGGGGATGGAATGGACGTGGGAATTTCTTTTCTTTTATTGACCCTGGCCCTTTCGGTCCGACAAACCTGCTGCGAGGTCGCTGAGGCATGATGCCTTAGCGGTACGGGGACTGACTCACAGGCGGATGTGCGTGGACTGAGCCTGGCGGGCCTCTGCTGAGTACTGACTGATCCATACCCACAGGAAGGCTCTGTCGGACCCTCTGCCGGAGGTGCGCGCCGCCGCCGCACAGACGTTCGACTCGCTGCACAACACGGTGGGCACGCGCGCCCTGGACGAGATCCTGCCGCCGCTGATGGAGCAGCTCAGCCAGCCCGACCAGGTACGGTGATGTGGGTCGGGGGGGGGGGGGGACGGCTGATGATGGTCCAGTCTTAGTTATGAACGATGCTGGGTCTCTGCAGTATAACCAGCAGATCAAGTTACGTTACTCTGGCCAATCTCCACGCCTACCGATGACCTCAGCAATTGGACTCTCACTCTTTGGGCGTTCAGCCTATTTTGTCAGCATCGACAGCACAGCAGAGCATTTACACATCCCGTAACCCCGTCGTTCATGTCCTAGCACTAATGTATGACGTTCGCCACCCTCTTCCCTCTCGACAGGCGGAGTACGTGCTGGACGGCCTGCGTCAGGTGATGACCATCAAGTCGCGGGTCGTCCTGCCGTACCTAGTGCCGCAGCTCGTAGCGCCGCCCGTCAACACCAAGGCGCTCAGCATCCTGGCCTCGGTGGCCGGCGACGCGCTGACACGCCACCTCAACCGCATCCTACCGGCGCTTATGTCGGCCATGGGCGACGCCGAGCCGGGCGAGGCGGCTGCCGAGCAGGCCGGCTACTGCCAGTCGGTGATCCTCTCCGTCACAGAGCCGGCCGGCGTGCGTGTCGTTATCGACGAGCTGCTGGAGGCGACGCGCGCCGGTTCGACGCCGCGCCGGCGCGCCGCCGCCGCGCTGCTGGCCTCGTTCTGCGGCCAGACGCGCGCAGAGTACGAGCAGCACGTGTCACAGCTGCTGCGCGGACTGACGCACCTCTTCATCGACGAGGACGACAAGCTGCTCCAGGTGAGCCATACTGGGATGACGTGAGATGGACTTGGATTGGTGTAAACGTTTCATCAGTTTGTACTTGTTGAATGGTGCGGTTAATTATAACCCATATCACTTACGAACCTAGTAATTAGGCATCACTCGCATCAGGACACAGCCCTAATTTTCTAAGCCGTCGTTCTGACGTTGTTTTATATACTCTGGTTCTGACCGCGCCGCTTCCACCCGTTCCAGTCTGCCTGGGAGGGTCTGAGCGCCGTCATCAAGCGACTGGAGTTGGACGACGAGCACAGCTACTACATCCCGGACGTGCGGCAGGCGGTCCGCTTCGCCGCCAGCGACCTCAAGGGACGCGACCTCATGCCCGGATTCTGTCTGGCCAAGGTGAGATATATATCTACTTTGCATGGCGATATGAATTGGGTGTCATTGGGACCGATTCGAGAGTCAATTGTAGATTGAAATGTATTCATTCAAGCAGCGTATGATCTGTGGAGCGGATGGCTCAGTCTTCAATATGACGTCTTGGTCAAATATTATTCACTCAGTGATATCTGGAGCAGTGTGTTTTCACTGTTCGCCGTCCTTTCCCGTCACAGCCAGACGTACGCTGATGATTTCCCTACGTCGCCTTTGCAGGGCATCACGCCGATCCTGCCGATATTCCGCGAGGCGGTGCTGAACGGCGCTCCGGAGCTGAAGGAGTCCGCGGCGCTCGGACTGGCCGAGATCATCCGCCTGACGTCGGCGGCGGCGCTGCGCACCAGTGTGGTGCACATCACCGGGCCGCTGATCCGCATCCTGGGCGACCGGTTCGCCTGGAACGTCAAGGTGGCCGTGCTCGAGTGTCTGGCGCTGCTGCTGGAGAAGGTGGGCCTGATGCTGAAGCCGTTCCTGCCGCAGCTGCAGACCACCTTCCTGAAGGCGCTCAGCGACCCGCACAAGCAGGTGCGCCTGCGCGCCGCCACGGCGCTCGGTCGGCTCATACCGATCCACACGCGAGTGGACCCGCTGTTCACTGAGCTGCACACCAGCATCCGCACCGCAGAGGACACCGGCGTCAGGTGAGGACTCATCGGGGTCAGGAGAGGGTTTTGGGGTCAAGGGAGGATATTGAGGTCAGGGAAGGGTACTGGGGCGGGAAATTGTTCAGAAGACTACCCGAATGGCATTCCTTGAATGGTAGGTGGACGGATATTAGGCGATGCTGCATTAGTTTGCAGCTGTTCACCCTGGTTAGGATTGTTCGCTGTTATTCTGTCTGTCTGTCCGTCTGACTATATTCGTCTGCGCGCTGCAGGGACACCACACTGCAGGCGCTGCGGAACCTGGTCGGCCCGGCCGGAGACAAGATGAGTGACGCGGTGCGCTCGCCGGTGCTGACCACCCTGCTGGAGCTGCTGTCGCACCCCGAGGAGAGCACGCGGCTGGCGGCGGCCGGCTGCCTGGGCACCCTGTGCCGCTGGCTGCCTGCCGATGAGCTGCATGTCGCCTACCGGGACACAATGCTAGGTGGGTGAAGCTTCCTGCACAGTATAACTGTACACTCGCTGCAACACTCGCTGTTTATGCCGTCAATCTGTGCATCGGTCTCAGTCAGCTATCGGCAAACCGGGAGCTAGCGTATTCCATGTGTGAATCATCTGCAGCGGAAAGTTGCCCATTACGATATGTTGTGTTTCACTGAAGTGAAGCCGCGCTGTCCAAGGCTACCTGCGGTAATGCTGGAAGGATATCATGCAATTAGACATGACATGGAGCATCATTTTCTTGTTCTTTTACAGTGTTTTATCATAGTCTTATCCATTTTAAACACGTAATTTATGACGTGTCAAGATTTTTTTTGTAAAGAAGCGCGGCATTGTGTAGAATGTGATGGGTGCGGAGCCACCTCCGTAGATCTCCATTGGTGGCGCGTGCCGAGCGCGGAGAATTACGGACTGGTAAGGTCCGCTTGAACGCGGCCATCCATTCTGATGGCGGCCCGATGAACTTTGGCCGCGAAAGGCCGCCGGTCGGCGCGGCCGCTATGGATCTCCTGTCGGAGGTGATGTCGGGGGCAGTTATTTGGAAACGATGCCGGTACGTCGAGCGAGCTCTGGAGCTGGAACGGGACTGGTTGCGGACTCGGCTGCCATGGGCTGAAAGATGGACCGGGCTAACTACTAATGTGCTGATAATAACCTCGGATCTAGCTAATATCTGATGCACCGCGTCGTTGTTGTCAGGCCGTGGCCAATCACATCTATCATATAACTATGCCATCCCACACACCACTCTATCACATCACTAACTGCCGCTTGCACCATGCGAGTGTCCTGACCGACCGACCCCGCCCCTGTCGCAGATGACGACGCGATGCTGGACTGGACGGTGCGCCACGGCCGGAGCGCGGCGCTGTACGTGGCTCTGAAGAGCGCGCCCGATCAGGTGCTCACAGAGGACTGGGAGAAAAAGACGGCCAGGGTGATCGTCAACTACATGCAGGTACGGACGGAGGATACAATTACAGACTACAACTGCTTAGTCTCCGTTTGTCGCACCGTGCGCGAGCGGAAATGTTACGAGACATGAGCGGAGGTGGGGGTGGGAGCTGGTGTTGTGCGCAGGGTGGAAGAATGCACTCGAGTGTTGAATGCCAATCAGCGTGCGCCCAGCCACACCGGTTTGCGGTAGCGTCCAGCTGTTTGTGCAGAGATCTGACCCTTCCGTCTGCCAGCTGCCTGCTTCCAGTCTTACCGGTCAGCGGACGGTACGCTGTTGAAGTGTTCACTGTTACCACACCACGTTATTGGTTTAATTTACACATCTGACCCGTCTGCCCGTCCGCAGTCTGACCGTCCGCCGCTGGTGATGAACGGTTTGCGGGCGGCCGGCTACATGCTGCGCCACCAGCTGGCCGCAGGACGGGCCGCCGGCTCCCCGCTGGCCACGCCGCTCGTCAGGGCCATCAACAACAACAGCAACGAGGTGAGCCCGGCGATCATCCAGATCGCTGCTGCCGGACACTGGGCGTCTCACTAGAGCAATAGCCCGTCTGTCGTTAATAATCCAAGCAGCTCGCTTGCCGTATCGATGCCTTATCACTATTTAAAGAGTGCAGGCCTATCGGTGACCCGTCCCTGACCGTACCGAAGACATTTCGACGAGCCTCTATAATTCCTGTCCCCCTGACGCGATGTTGCGCCTCTGGCCCCGCTCTTGCCAGCAATATGCCGTGGATCATTTGGTCTGTCACTTTCCTGTCACCGGCGGTGGGGCGGACTGTTCTCCGCGGTCCAACACACATATTGTAATTCTGCCAAGGGGCCCTGTGTGTCGGCTCCATTCAGTTCTGATCAAAGGCACGGCCGGGCTCGCTCACTCGATAGTCGTCGCAGGGCAGTGCAGCTGTCAAACGGTATTACCACGCTGAATGAGATTAGCATCAGCATTGCAGACGTCCACGGTTTTCCTGGCCTCCACATCACCTGCGGCTCCCAACAGCCGTCTTTTCCCTTCACTTGTCGCTCCTTTCGGTCCCTTGGGTCCGTCAGGGGAGGTACTTTGTGTCCTGTCACGGTCTGAGACAGCCGCCTTGCCGACGCTGGCAGACCGGACGGCTATCGACCGCCTGTGACACGGGACGGCCACTCACGGACATGTCTCATCCGGAGACCGAGTGGAGTTCGCTGTCGCTGGCCGGGTGCGAGTCGATCTCGGCCGCACGTGCCTGTAGGTCGCGGGGAGGACTAGCAATGGTGAAATTTGTACCCTTCAGTGGTCGAGCCGTCGACTGGGGTGGAACACGGGAGGTGGTTCCGAGACTGGGACTGGGGTGTTGAGGTCGGGTGGAGCCGCCAGCCGTAGGGTAGCAACTGGCGGCCATCTACAGACTATAGGCAATCGGGTCGGTGTAGGGCTCCCAGCTGGTGGTGCGGCGGGTTCGCCTTGCGTCTCAAACATTGAGCATAGAAGAAAGTAGCACAATCCTACATGGCTACTGGGTACGCCGCCCCTCCTATGTCGCCCGGGCCGGCTGCAGCTGTCGCACCGCCCATTCTCCGACGCTGGTGGTTCTACCGCCATCTGTCCGACCACCGACCTAGGGCGGCTGTATTTCGGTTTAGGGCGACCGACTAGGACGGCGAATGCGATGATACTTTCTACACGCTAACCACCCGGCTGGCCACTGCTTCCATTCCGTCCACCTTGCAGGACATCTAACATCCTCTTGAAAGTACTCCGATTCCGACTGGGACTGGATCCCGATCCCACGCCGGGTGCAGTTGAAGCAGGCTGCTGTATGCTCAGGTGTCTCCGTGCCTCAGTGCAGCATCTCTAACCCCCGCTATCTCTCTGGTACAGGTGAAGCAGCTGTCTGCGCAGGTGTGTGTCTCCGTGCAGCACCTCTAACTCCCGCTGTCTCCCCCGCAGGTGAAGCAGCTGTCTGCGCAGGTGTCTCCGTGCAGCACCTCTAGCCCCCGCCGTCTCCCCCGCAGGTGAAGCAGCTGTCTGCGCAGACATCCCCGTGCAACACTTCTAACCCCGCCATCTCCCCCGCACGTAAAGCAGTTCTCTGCGCAGACATCCCCGTGCAGCACTTCTAACCCCGCCATCTCCCCCGCAGGTGAACCAGCTGAACTGTCTGCGCAGGTGTCTCTGTGCAGCACCTCTAACCCCCGCTGTCTCCCCCGCAGGTGAAGCAGTTGTCCGCACAGGTGGTGGAGCTACTGGCCGTCAGCCGCGAGCAGCCGCTGCCCGCAGAGCTGGCGCGACTCGTCATCCCGATGCTGGTTAACGGCACCAAGGAGAAGAACACGGTTGTGCGCACTTGCGCCGAGAGCGCGCTCGTGGCGGTGCTCAGGCTCAAGGAAGGCGAGGCGACGCAAGAGGTGAGCACTTAAATGACGCCAGCCGGTGTTTGGTAGACACTAGACAGGATGCCCACAGTGAATGGCGAATAATACCTTGACCTTTGAATCCGAGTCCGTAATTCATCAATTGAAATTAATAGCCGTGTCGAGTTCAATTAACTGTGCCGTGTCGAGTGAAATCATGTAAATCCAAAGAGCGTAGCTTTTATATTCATTTCACTGAGTAACGTGTTCAGTCACTATACCAGACATCCATTGGCTGGAAACAGCGTGCCCTTCGCGATTGAAAACGTTGACCGGTCTTATGACCTGTCCTCCGATCTGACCCATTGCCCCCGGTGTGCCCCGCTGCAGGAGATGCTGGCGATGCTCGACTCTGGCGCGCGCGACTCGCTTCAGGAAGTGATCAGTAAGGTGTTGCGGAAGGACGTGACGGCCGTCCAGCAGATTCGTGATCTCGACGAGACGCTGATCAGCTGATATCGCCGCGCCGCGTACCAAGTGATTTATATTGAGAATGAAATACAGAGGGGGTTCTTTGGTGTCATGTGTGAACCGGGAAGGCGAGGTTTGCGGACGGGATGCCGTTGGAGCCCATGATGGTGAAACTACTGAGTCGAGTGGCCTGACCATTGACCAAGTGTGTGTTGCGAAGCGTAAGGCGACAAAACAACCAGATCACCGTATCTTGAATTTTATATTAAACACTATTGATTCAGGTTCCTTAAAAGCAACTTAACTCTAAGTGAACATGAACCGGCAGGGAAAGGAGAACAACTGACTGGGGACAGGACGGGGCGGGGCGGGGCAGGGCAGGAGGGGTGGCTGGGTGGCACATCATGCAGCGCTCCGCGCCACTCTCTCGGCCCACTGTACAAAACTAGGTGGCGGCGCCTGGGCGGGCGGGCGGCGGGCGCCGGCCTATCACAAGGGTTCGTGTGTCCGGGCAGGGCGGCGGAATGTCACTGGTCACGACCCGCCGCCGCCGCCGCCGCCGGTGTCCTCGGCTCCCGCGGCGTCACTGGCGTCCCCGCCGTCACTGCCGCCCGTCAGCCACGGTGGCGCAGACAGTCGGCGGCCGTGGCGCGCTGCGCCGGGTCGAACGCCAGCATCGGCAGCAGGAATCGGCGAACGCGCGGCCTTCTGCTCGGGCCACTCGTACTTGTCCATGAGCACCTCGTGCAGCGCCCACGGCTTCAGCTTGGTGATGTGACGTAGCTCGCCTGGCGGAGCGGACGAATGTCAGAAAGGCGACACCAGAGAGTGACAGTAGATGGGTCATCTTCGGTCAGGGGATCGAGCAGTGGCGGAACAATTGAGTGACGGGTCAGTGACCCGCATAGAGGCAGCCGGACCGAAAATGATCCGATCCAAGATGACCCGAGTCAAGGTAAGACGTGACAGGAAAACACCTTAGATGAACCAATGTGGTGCTGGACTGCCATGAAGGCGGTGCGGAGCTAAACCAAGACAACTAAGGCAAAAACATCAGCGCCCAAGTCAACATCTCAAAACCAAATTCCTTAATCACAACGACGCCAAGACTCCGATGGGCTGACACTATACCCCGTACACACCTTTTTTGGTGAAGAAGTCCCGCGAGTATTTGCCGCTGAACATGATGTGTTTGGGGATGTCTCCGGCGAGCTCGATGATGTGCGCGATGTGGTCCTCGTCGCGACTGTAGTCCTGGCCCGTGTGAGGCTCAAACAGGTAGTCGCCCGTGGCCAGCTCGAACGCCATACACGCCGTGGACCAGATGTCGGCCGGCGGACCGTACCCGGCGCCGAGCAGTACCTCCAGACACCGGTACTGGCGCGTCTGAATGTCCTCCGTGAAATGGTGGTGCTGTGGGGGAGGTCAGGCCAGGTTAGATACCGCTACTGGCGCATCTGGATGTCCGTGAAATGGCGATGCTGTGGGTGGTGGGAGATACTGTTAACTGTTATCAACTTTTGACGCAAACGCTGGAATGAAAACAAACAGCGGAAGCTGACCAAAACAGCAGAAGGGTGATTCACGTTTTACACACTCACAGGGACAAACAGGCCCCAATGTCAGAAATAAAACAGAAATAAAACATTTTTACGGAAAGAGATGTACCACCCTATGCCCATCTCGATCCCGTTTGCAATATCCCCGACTCCGGCCAGATGTAGGTACGCATGCCCCCGCCGTACTTCCCTATCTGCACCCTCCCGGGGACAAAGGTCCGGCCGGCGGCGGTGCCTCCAATCGGCCCCGGCAATACGGCGCCCAAATCGATAGCCGGCGGCGACCGTAATCGGCCGGTGCGCCCGCTAATCCCCGCGGCGGCGGTCATGGGGGGGGGGGGGGGTTCCCGTTCTGCTCTGTATGGAGGGTCGCAAACCACCACAGAGCTGGGTGGTCGGCGGGGCGACTCCTTCACTGTCCGCTGCCTTAACCCAGATCTGCCCACCGTATCATTTATGATACGACTAGAGGGACAGCATTACGCGCAGCGTAAAGAGGGACAGCATTACGCGCAGCGTAATAAATCAATTTTCATTAAAATCGGCCCAGTAACGGCCGAGTTAATGCCAGAATAAATTTGGCGTCTCCTCCTGGCCGGCGGTGCTCTGTTCCGGTATTCATTGCCAAAGGTCAGTGACCTTCCGGCTCTGATTTCACCCAGTTTTGCAGCGAAGAAACTGAGCCTAAGGCGCGTGCCGTCTGCTCGAATCCGGCCGCGGCCCAAAATGCTGCAAAGATGTGCCCGCCACGTGCACACCGCTGCACGCACCCCCTCCAAAATTTAATACAACAAACAGATGCACGCGTCCGACTTGCGCCCAAAATTTCACCCCCGTAGCCCGCACCGTTCCAGAGCAATAGCCCGCCAAGCGTGACTGACGCGTCACATAATACATACATACGGACATTTTGATTTTTATATATGTAACTAGAGGGACAGCATTACGCGCAGCGTAAAGAGGGACAGCATTACGTGCACCGTAATAAATCAAGTTTCAATAAAATCGGTCCAGTAGCGGCCGAGTTATTGCCAGAATAAATGTTGAGTCTCCTCCTGGCCGGCGGTGCCCTGTTCCGGTGTTCTTTGCCAAAGGTCAGTGACCTTCCGGCTCTGTTTCCGCTCAGTTTTGCAAGCGAAGAAACTGAGGCTAATGCGCGTGCTCTCTGATCGGCGCCGGCCGCGGCCCAAAATCCCGCAAAGATGCGCCCGCTACGTGCAAACCGCCGAGCGCACCCCCACCAAAATTTAATACGACAAACAGATGCACGCGTCTGACTTGCGCCCAAAATTCCACCCCCGTAGCCCGCACCGTTCCGGAGCAATAGCCCGCCAAGCGTGACTGACGCGTTACATACATACATACATACATACATACGTACAGACGTTTTGATTTTATATATGTAATTACGCGCAGCGTAATAAATCAAGTTTCATTGCAATCGGCCCAGTAGCGGCCGGGTTATGGCCAGAATAAATTTGGCGTCTCCTCCTGGCCGGCGGTGCTCTGTTCCGGTATTCATTGCCAAAGGTCAACGACCTCCGACTCTGTTTTCCCTCATTTTCGCAGCGAACAATCTGAGCCTAGGGCGCGTGCCGTCTGCTCGGCGCCGGCCGCGGCCCAAAATGCTGCAAAGATGCGCCCGCCACGTGCAAACCGGCGAGCGCACCCCCACCAAAATTTAATACAAAAACAGATGCACGCGTCCGACTCGGCGCAAAAATTTCACCTCCGTAGCCCGCACCGTTCCGGAGCAATAGCCCGCCAAGCGTGACTGACGCGTTACATACATACATACATACATACATACATACGTACAGACGTTTTGATTTTTATATATGTAAATGAGTCGCTCGACCGTTGCTAGGCAACCGACTTCCATCCGAAAGACGCCGAAACTTTATTTTGTGATGTTGTGTGTCAGTCGTGTGTACTATTTCTAGAGGGGTAACTTTTCTATTTTATATTTTCCGTGTAGCATGATCAAACAAAA